CACTTCTTGTGTAGTCTCTCAGTGTACTTGTGGCGCCCCTGCTTTTCACTGGGGAATGTTGCATCTTCTGTTGAGTCTTTCGCTTTCATAGGGAGTGATTTTCGTGTGCAAGTTTGGTACTAATCCTTCTAGGATTTTCCAAGTGTTTATTATCATGTATCTCTCTCGCCTGCGTTCCAGGGAATACAAATCGAGAGAATTCAACCGTTCCCAGTAATTTAGGTGCCTTATCGTACTTATGTGCCACGAAAGTTCTTTGTATACTCTCCAGCCTTGAAGGATCAGTTAGTCTACAGCAGTATTCCAGCCTAGAGAGAAAAGCTATTTGAAGAGAATCATCATGGGTTTGACGCCCCTAGTTTTGAAGGTTTTCATTATCCATCCTATCATATTCCTAACAGATGCGGTAGATACATTGTTGTGGTCTTTGAAGGCGAGATCCTCTGACATTATTACTCCCGGGTCCTTCACGTTATTTTTTCGCTCTATTGTATAATTAGAATTTGTTGTATGCATTCATACAGTTTTAATATCCTCAAGTATCCCATATCTGGGTAGTTGAAATTTCTTTTCATTGAACTTTATATTGTTTGGAGTGGCCCATTTGAAGACTTGGTTGATGTCCGCTTGGAGTCTCGCAGTGTCTTCGATGGAAGTCACTACCATGGTAATCCTGGTGTCATCCACAAAGGAACACACAGATCTATGGCTTACATCTCTGTCTATGTCAATTATGAGGATGATTAATAACAATAGTAATACTAATATCTTTATTTACTACAAGTACATGTACAAGATATACAGACCATAGCTGACATCAATAATATACTACTGTATAAAAAGCCGCTTGATATCCTGAGCATTCGGGCAAATTAGGTTACTTTTGTCCCAGGATGTGACCCACACTAGTCGACTAACACCCAGGTACCCATTTTACTAATGGATGAATATAGACAACCGGTGTAAGGAAACACATTCGATGTTTGCACCTCTTCGCTGGGAATCGAACCCAGAACTTCACCGTGTGAAGCGAGAGCTTTTGCCACCAGGCTGGGAGCGAGTACTGTGCCTTGTGGAACACAGCTGTTGCCACCAGGCTGGGAGCGAGTACTGTGCCTTGTGGAACACAGCTGTTGCCACCAGGCTGGGAGCGAGTACTGTGCCTTGTGGAACACAGCTGTTGCCACCAGGCTGGGAGCGAGTACTGTGCCTTGTGGAACACAGCTGTTGCCACCAGGCTGGGAGCGAGTACCGTGCCTTGTGGAACACAGCTGTTGCCACCAGGCTGGGAGCGAGTACTGTGCCTTGTGGAACACAGCTGTTGCCACCAGACTGGGAGCGAGTACTGTGCCTTGTGGAACACAGCTTTTCACTTTAGCAGCCTCGGATTTACTCTGTCTACTATTATTTTTTGTGTTCAATTTGTCAGGAAGTTATAGATCCATTTACCAGCTTTTCCTGTTATTCCTTTATCACGCATTTTGTGTGCTATTCCACCATGGTCACACTTGTCGAAGGCTTTTGCAAAGTCTCTGTATACTACATCTTCATTTTGTTTATCCTCTATAGCATCCAGGACCTTGTCATAGTGGTCCAGTAGCTGGGACAGGCAGGAGCGACCAGTATTGCCCTGGGTTGTGTAACTGATGATTATCTAGGTGGTTGGAGATCTTGCTTCTTAGAACCCTTTCAAAGATTTTTTATGTAAAGTAAATGGACATAAGTGCAACTAATGTGACATTTTATTGTGCAACGTTTCGGTCTCCAGGAGCTTTATCAAGCAGTTACAAACAATACATGGTCACAGAGGGTATATATAGGCTCAGAGTGAGGTGTAATGCTAGTGGTAGTAGTAGTGTAGTAGTAGTAGCAGTAGTAGTAGTAATAATAATATTAATTTTAGTAGTAATGCAATATGGTAGAACAATCAACTTGCAAATTGTTCTATCATACTGTCTCACTACTACTACTACTGCCACTAGTATCACACCTCACAAACTATACCATGGACGGGGATAGAACCCGTGATCAGAGTCTCTGATCGTGGGTTCTATCCCCGCCTGTGGTATGGTTTGTTTGCAATCGTGTCATGACGATTTCGTGAGTCAGCACACCTCACTCTAAGCCTATATATACCCTCTGTGTCCATGTATTGTTTGTAACGGCTTGATAAAGTTCTTGGAGAGCGAAACGTTGCCACAATAAACGTCACATTAGTTGCACTTGTGTCCTTTTACTTTACATATTGTCGGTAATTCTACCAATATCAATACAAAGATTTTTATGATTTGGGATGTTAGTGCTATCCCTTCTGTAGTTCTTTGTAATTGCTTTACTGCCACCTTTGTGGAGTGGGGCTATGTCTGTTGTTTTTAGTGTGTGTGTGATGACCCCTGTGTCCATGCTCCCTCTCCATAAAATGCTGAAGGCACATGACAGGGGCTTCTTGCAGTTCTTGATGAACACGGAGTTCCATGAGTCTGGGTCTGGGGCAGAGTGCATGGGCATGTCATTTATTGCCTTTTCAAAGTCTTGTTAAGTTAGAATAATATCCGAGATTTTCGAGATGACCAGATTCTGGGTCTCGTTCATAAAGAATTCATTTGGATTGTCGACCCTTAGTCTGGGCAGCGGCTCACTGTACACTGAGTCATATTGGGACTATAATATCTCACTCATTTCTTGGCTGTCATCTGTGTATGTCCCAGCCTGCCTAAGCAGAGGCCCAATACTGGATGTTGCTTTTCCCTTAGATTTGGCATAAGAGAAGAAGTATTTTTCTTTCTATTTTCTTTATGGCTTTTAGTTCTTCCTGCAGTTCTTGTCTCATGTAAGATTCCTTCAGCTTAACTTCGATATTTGGGAGGAAGTGAAAAATAAACCCAGTGAAAAACAGGCAAGCGCCAGAGAAGCCTGGTCCAAGACCGGGCTTTGGGAATAGAAAAGTCTTCAAATTCATGAAAGGTTTAACAAAGGTATTCCCGACCTTTCCTAAATCCTTCTTGTTTCTCTTATGATTAATTCTTTCAGTAATTACTTTATCACACACTTTATCAGTTATACTTAACAGGCTTTTTCGCCTATAATACATACAAACATCACTCTTTGTCATCTTTTCTCTTATATCAAGGGAATATTCTTGCTTTCTGCCAATCCTTAATTTTAAGTACCTTCCTTCCTTAATATTTGTATTTAACAAATGCTTAAAACTCTCATGAACTATATCCCTACCAACTTTTATTATTTTTGTTTTATCAACATCTATTCTAACTGATTTACTCCCTTTCATTCTCCTCAAATCCTTACGCATTTTCTGCACACTCACATCTGGCTAAGCATTAACCCTACAAAATGTTGTACCTCCCTGTCCAGTGCATGAAATCACTACCTAACTTTCTTTGTCAGTATTTTACTACCACTCAAAATATACCCTCCTTAATAATAATAATAATAATAATAATAATAATAATAATAATAATAATAATAATAATAATTATAATAATAATAATAATAATAATAATAATAATAATAACAATATTAATACACAAATTACCCATGTAAGGAGAAAAAACCTACGACGACGTTTTGGCTCGACATAAATTTCTTTCTGCTATTATTTTTATTATTAACACACTGGCCGACTCCCACCAAGGCAGGGTGGCCCGAAAAAGAAAAACTTTCACCATCATTCACTCCATCACTGTCTTTCCAGAAGGGTGCTTTACACTACAGTTTTTAAACTGCAACATTAACACCCCTCCTTCAGAGTGCAGGCACTGTACTTCCCATCTCCAGGACTCAAGTCCGGCCTGCTGGTTTCCCTGAACCCCTTCATAAATGTTACTTTGCTCACACTCCAACAGCACGTCAAGTATTAAAATCCATTTGTCTCCATTCACTCCTATCAAACACGCTCACGCATGCCCGCTTGAAGTCCAAGCCCCTCGCACACAAAACCTCCTTTACCCTCTCCCTCCAACCTTTCCTAGGCCGACCCCTACCCCTCCTTCCTTCCACTACAGACTGATACACTCTTGAAGTCATTCTGTTTCGCTCCATTCTCTCTACATGTCCGAACCACCTCAACAACCCTTCCTCAGCCCTCTGGACAACAGTTTTGGTAATCCCGCATCTCCTCCTAACTTCCAAACTACGAATTCTCTGCATTATATTCACACCACACGTTGCCCTCAAGCATGACATCTCCACTGCCTCCAGCCTTCTCCTCGCTGCAACATTCATCACCCATGCTCCACACCCATATAAGAGCGTTGGTACAACTATACTCTCATACATTCCTCTCTTTGCCTCCAAGGACAAAGTTCTTTGTCCCCACAGACTCCTAAGTGCACAGCTCACCCTTTTCCCTTCATCAATTCTATGATTCACCTCATCTTTCATAGACCCATCCGCTTACACATCCACTCCCAAATATCTGAATACATTCACCTCCTCCATACTCCCTCCCTCCAATCTGATATCCAATCTTTCATCACCTAATCTTTTTGTTATCCTCATAACCTTACTCTTCCCTATATTCACTTTTAATTTTCTTCTTTTTCACACCCTTCCAAATTCATCCATCAACCTCTGCAACTGTGACAACTCCCACTTTATGTGTGATTCTTTATCTTTTAACTCCACGCGTCTTGCCAAGACCCTCGCATTTACTTCTCTTACAACCCCATCTATAAATATATTAAACAACCACGGTGACATCACACATCCTTGTCTAAGGCCTACTTTTACTGGGAAATAATTTCTCTCTTTCCTACATACTATATCCAGGTTATTTATGTATTGCTCTGGTTATTGTCATTGTGCCTCTATATATTTTTAAAAAAAAGCAACAAAAAGAATAATAATAAATTTTGTTATAAAAATAATTGTTTAATTGAGCAATTCTACGAAATTTATTTTCATTAATAAGTGATGACTCACAGTTTAGATGAGAATGAATTTAATTATTAAATTTCTTATGTTTCTGTGTTTATGTTTAGATGAAGACAGTGATGTGATGCCGTGGCAAGAACAGCAACAATGTTACAAGCTGCCATCCTCTGTTCCATATACGAATTACAGTGTTTGTGTAGCGGTAAATAATGAAGTGGGAGATAATGGCTGTTGTCTTCAAACTACTCCACAAGCTGGTAAGTCTCACTTGGTATATATTATCAACTACTCGATGCTCACTTATTCCTGATACATCCCATAACAGGCTGGAGGATTTTTTTGTGACATGAAAGACCAAAATATTTTGTCAGAATTACTTTTTACAATTCAAACAGGGACAAAAAGCCTTATTCAGCTAAAAATATTTTGGTTCTCCCATATCATGAAAACTTGCTTGATATACCTTCTCTACTGAACAATTTTAATTTCTAAGTTTTATTTAAAAATCATGAAACAGTAAAAAAAACTTTTGATAAGGAATTCCCCCCAAAATGTTGATGGATGTGTCTATAAGATTCCTTGTAAAATATGTGATAAAATTTATTGCCGACAAACTAAGAGGCGTCCACACCACCGAATGTCCTTTGATGGTGGGTACAACACCCAGCTTGGCTGGTCTGAAGTGTCATGTGTTTTCTCTCACCATAAGGCGGTCCAAAACAGCATGGGTTCGACTCCTTGGCTAGTGCAGTGTTTATATATATATATATATATATATATATATATATATATAATATATATATTATATATATATATATATATATATATATATATATATTATATATATATATTTATATATATATATATATTATACACACATACATATCGTGCCGAATATGTAGAACTGGTAAATTAGCAAGAACTTATTTAAAATTAAGTCCGTTCTAAAATTTTTTATTATACGTTTAAAGATATATTTTTTTTCATTAATGTTGATGTAAAAAAATTAATTTTGCACCAAAAGGAACTTAGAAAACTTACCTAACCTTATTATAACAAGAACAATTTATTTTAGCCTAACCCGACTAATTATATTTTAGATTTGTTTACAATAATTTAATACTAAACAAACACAATGAAATATATTTTTATCGTTAGGTTCAGAATGATTTTGGCGAAATTATTGCATACACAAATTTTCACTTGTCCTATATGGCAAGATGAGCGTTGCTATTTAAGCCAAGATCGCAAGTTCTGCCTATTCGGCAAAACATATATATATATATATATGTTGCAGCGAGGAGAAGGCTGGAGGCAGTGGAGATGTCATGTCTGAGGGCAATGTGTGATGTGAATATAATGCAGAGAATTAGTAGTTTGGAAGTTAGGAGGAGGTGCGGGATTACCAAAACTGTTGCCCAGAGGGCTGAGGAAGGGTTGTTGAGGTGGTTCGGACATGTAGAGAGAATGGAGTGAAACAGAATAACTTCAAGAGTGTATCAGTCTGTAGTGGAAGGAAGGCGGGGTAGGGGTCGGCCTAGGAATGGTTGGAGGGAGGGGGTAAAGGAGGTTTTGTGTGCGAGGGGCTTGGACTTCCAGCAGGCATGCATGAGCCTGTTTGATAGGAGTGAATGGAGACGAATGGTTTTTAATACTTGACGTGCTGTTGGAGTGTGAGCAAAGTAGCATTTATGAAGGGGTTCAGGGAAACCGGCAGGCCAGACTTGAATCCTGGAGATGGGAAGTACAGTGCCTGCACTCTGAAGGAGGGGTGTTAATGTTGCAGTTTAAAAACTGGGGTGTAAAGCACCCTTCTGGCAAGACAGTGATAGAGTGAATGATGGTGAAAGTTTTTCTTTTTCGGGCCACCCTTCCTTGGTGGGAATCGGTCAGTGTGTTAATAAAATAAATAATATATATATACATATATATATATATATATATATATATATATATATATATATATATATATATATTTAATATAATATATATATATATATATATATATATATATATATATATATATATATATATATATATTTATATATATATATATATATATAGATATATATATATATTTATATATATGTATATATATATATATATATATATATATATATATATATATATTTTATAATATATATATATATATATATATATATTTATATATATATATATATATATATATATATATAATATATATATGCAAAACAACCACTCTGAAAGAATAGAGAAATTCCAAGCACTTTCGTGACTACTCACATTATAAAGGGAAAACTATGAAAGTAAAGCATCCAAGGAAGCTATATAAGGGGTCTGGCCAGCACCTCACTATCAGATCCCACAACGGTTAAACACCTGACGCCGCCCGACCCAACTTGGATAGGTCCTTTGCACAACTCACCCCACAAACTATTCTACCCAAGAAAATTTAAAAATTATTTGTCCAGTGTATTATTAAATTCTTCCCAAATTCTATTAATTATAAATGGATCTAATTTATATAAACCAAAGGAAATATTCATATTATTGTCAAAACTGCTTTTTATGAAACAAGATTCAATTATATTCCTGTCGACCATGAGTTATTTTCTTCAAACTCAACAGTAAAGTTTATAGAATGGGCTAAGCTATTTAATTTTCCTAGGAAATGGTGTATATCTATACATGGAATTTTTTGAAACAAGGTTACTTAACACAATCCTCCCTAATAGAGCTAAATGGTTCAGATATGTTGATGATATTTTGTGTCTTATGCCCAAAAATGTAGATATACACCATTTCCTAGGAAAATTAAATAACTTAGCCCATTCTATAAACTTTACTGTTGAGTTTGAAGAAAATAACTCATTGCCTTTTCTAGATGTTTTAATTATTAAGGGTAATAATGAATTCAAATTTAAAATTTACAGAAAACCTACAAATAACTGTTCCTATGTCCACTATTATTCCTCGCATCATGATAGAGTCAAACTGTCTGTTTTCTCATCAATGTTTCTGAGAGCTTTACGAATTTGTAGTCCTGAGTTCATAGATGTGGAAATATCCAAAATTTATGAAAATAGGTAATGATTTAAAATACCCAAGAAATGTAATTGATAAATCTTTTAAGTTGCCAGAAATACTTTTTACAATCCAAAAAGGGACAACCAGCCTTATTCAACTAAAAATATGTTGGTTCTCCCTTACCATGAAAACTTGGTTGATATGCCTTCTCTTCTTAAGACTTTTAATATTTTAAAATTGTATTCAAAAAATCTTGATACAGTTAAAAAAACTTTGATAAAGAATTCCCCCAAAATGCTGATGGATGTGTCTATAAGATTCCTTGTAAAATTTACGATAAAGTTATTACGGTCAAACTGGTAAAAATCTCGAACTAAGATTAAAACAACATAAATATTGCATTAGAACTGGACAAGATTCCAATGCCTATTTATTCATGTAAGAGATTTTAACCATCCAATTGATTTTCAAAAAGTTGAGAAAGTAGTATAAAGCAAGTCCGGGTCGCAAAAATAAAAGAATCTTTTTTCATAAAAAGCATTTTTGAAAATAATATAATTTTTCCCTTTGGTTTATTAAATTAATCCATTTAAAATTTAAATAAATTTGGGAAAAATTTTAATAATCCCGGGGACAAATAATTTTTAAATTTTTTTGGGGTAGAATATTTTGTGGGGTGAGTTGTGCAAAGGACCTACCAATTTGGGGGTCGGCGCGTGTCAGGTTTTTAAACCGTTGGGGGATCTATAGTGAGGGCGGGCCAGACCCCTTATATAGCTTCCTTGGATGCTTTACTTTCAAGTTCCTTGATAATTGAGTAGTCACGAAACGTTTGGATTTCTCTATTAAACAGAGTGGTTTTTTTTTGCATATTCTGAAATACCTGTTTACGTATCTTATTGCAAATAAAAATATATATATATAATATATATATAAATTATATTATATATATTTATAATAAAATATATATATATTAATATATTATATATATGAATTATATATATATATTATAATAATATATAAATATAATATTTTATATATATTATATAATATTTATATATATATAAATTATATATGAAAATATTAAATATTTAAAAAATTATAATTATATATATATATTTTAAAATTTTATAATATATATATATAATAATAATATATAAATATAATATATATAATATATATTTGATTATTTTTAAATATATATATATTTGTGTGTGTGTGTGTGGGTACTCACCTTTTGTGGTTGCGGGGTTTCGAGCCCCTAGCTCCTGCCCCGCCTCTTCCCCGGTTGCTACTAGACCCTCTCTCTCCCCCTCCGGCTTTATCAAACCCCTCTTAAAATTGGGATGGGTTTCCCGCCTCCACTACGTCATTTTCTAGGCTATTCCCTCCTTACAAAATCTAGACTGAAGAAATACTTTCCCACATCTCTCTGATCATTTGTGTCTTCAACTTCCCAATTTTGGCCTCTTGTTCTGTGTCCCCTCCTGGAACACCTGTCCTTTCCACCTTGCTATTTCCCCGCATTTTTTATGTCGTTATCTTCCCCCCCGACCTCCTGTCCTCCATGTGCAGGCCGATTCCCTTTAAACTTTTTTCATAGGCATTCCCCTTAGCTCTGGAACTAACCTTGTTGCAAACCTTTGTACTTTTAGTTTCTTTACGTGCTTTTTCAATGCGGGTTCCAACAGGTCTGCATACCATATGGGCCTACATACACGGTGTACGTTTTGAAGAAAATTTCCCTTTCTAAGGGGTCGGAATGCGTTCTCGGTTTGCCAGGGCCCATATGCGGGGGCAGTTATCTGATTGATTTTGTGCTTCCGGAACTGCCGTGTTATACTCACCCCAAGATCTTTTCCCTTTTTGAGGTTTCGTCTTTTTCCACCTCCTATACTCTGTCTGTGGTTTCTGTGCCCCTTTCCCCTATCTTTATGACTTTGCATTTGGGGATTAATTCGAGAAACCATTTGTGGGCCAGTGTCCCGTCTGTCCAGGTCTTTTGAAGTCCGCCCGTCCTCATGATTTAATTTCCCATTAACTTCAATATCTGCAAACAGGGGCATTTTGAGTCCAACCCCTTTCCCTCATGTCGTTACTTTTTCCAAAAATAGCACTGGTCCCAGGACCCACTCCTGTGGGCCCCCCCTGCCAGGTGCCCACTGTGAAATCATTACGTACCCTGACTCGTTGTTGCCTCCCGTCAGGATTTTCTGATCCATTGCGGCTCTTCCTGTTTTATGCG